CCGGAGTTTACCACATCTGCATGGCACAAATGTTGGGTTTGGAAATAATTGTGATTGCATAATGATGAAACTGCCTTACTGTAAATTAATCCTCTTAAATAGAAATTATGCAGTGATAGAAAACTTAAACTTTCCACTGTGATGCTGTATGGCAAATCAACAGGGAGACATGAGCACATGTTTACGATGAGAGCTGCTTGTTTATTGTCAGAGTTCATCCTTCCATTTCTTGTGCAGAATTATATACTGGTGTCTGCAAAGCATAGCAGAGGTCTTGCCAATGAGCTTATCTGACATTTCTTGCATTCCTTTTTCCACCCCACAGATGTCCTGTAGGAGTTAAAGAATTCTCAACTTCATGGAATGCTTAGGAAGTTCCATAAATTATAGGTGCACCTGGATGCCCAGCCTCCAGATTAACTGAGGCCTGTGGCTACTTGCAGGTTGGATATAAGAAAAGTTGATGAGTGCAGTGTCTCCTTCCCCTTCTGTTGAGGATGAATGCCTGAAACTGTGTTTTCCTTTCTTTGATTCCCTCTGTCTGAGGTCAAGTCCATCCATGGCAGGTTGATATGTTCCTGAATAACCAGAGCAGAGAGACCCTTAATCCTGCAACAGGAAAGAACTTGCTGGTTCCTAAACTACTGCTTTTTGAGAAGGGGTCTCTGCAGAGCTTCTTAGCTCTAATGGATGCTTCAAACGGGTCTGCTGGATTAGTACTGAAATCACTAACTTTGTAGTTTAATTTCAGAAGCTCTCAAGTTTCAGATTACTCCCGTATCACTTATGTTCTTACATGCCTACTGTTCTCCCTTGAATGTAGTAATTAAGAGACTAGAGATTAGAATCTTTCAGCACATTGAATTCTTTACACAAATGTGAAGAATGGTGATACGTGTAACATAAATCTCATGTATACTACTTATATGTTTTCTGTTTTACAGCAATGTTCATTAGATATTTTCTAATCTATATTTACTACCACTGGTTCCCATTTATTGAGCAGTGAGATAATGCACACTGAAGAAACTTTGTGACATATGTGTATCAGATGAATGGATAACTCAGACCATCAGCTTTCACTAGCATCCCAAAGCCAAAACCTGAGGTCCCTGCAGGAGTGTTAAGGACAGACAATGAGGAGTCTTATTTTGCTTAGTGATTGACTGGAATCATCTCTGGCCTTTCATTTTCAATAGTGTATAAGTAAAATTAATTTGATTTTATCTAGGCTAAACAATTTATCTCTGCATTATTCTCTTGAACATTTCAATGCTTATAAAATAAAGACAAAAACCCTCACAGTTATTAGTAAAAGTAATTAGTCTCTGCATTGGGCTTTACAGGTTATTGATTATTTCCTCAGACTTCTTTCTCGTTTGACCATTAAAATGTCTAGGTGAGGGGAAGAAAACATTTTTGGCCAGGGAGTTTGCTGCTTTGATTAGCATGCCTGCTACCATAGCACACCTCTGCTGCTCATTCCTGTTGTATTTGAAAGGCCAGCATCCAGGACATGTCCCCTCCTTTTTATGGGGTATTTTACTTTCATTGTAAACCTATGACATTTTCTTTAACCTATGATTGGTTATTATCTCGTAGGTGTATATAGTCAGATACCTAGAGCTGTTGACATCCTGATCTTGCTGGTTTTAAGTCATTGTGTGACTTTGCTACTGTGTTTATAACACAGTTCTAACAATGATTTGTTGTCCTGAATCTGAGAGGCTAAAGAAGTCTGAAACCAGGTGTCCACAGACACTGACTCTGAAGATGTTAAGGGAGATACCTTAATTACTGCATTTCCTTTTCCTCCCTTCTGGCAGGTTCTAACTTGTTGGTGTTCTGTTGCTTCTAGCCATATCACTAAATTTAATATTTTTAATAGTAACATTATTAATGAGACTGTATAAGAAATTGAAATGTTTGGATTAAAAATAAAATCTTAGTGTAGCTTTGCAACTAAATAAAATTTGTAAGTTGTAAAAATTCTTAGCCCATGTCACATATAATTCAACATAATATATTCAGATAATTATAACCTTTGATTGACTACAGTATCTAACTAGGGGTATTTGATAATTTTTTGTTATAAATTATTAGACCTCAGACTTTAGCTAGTTTATATCAGACTCAGGAAAGCTGGATTAAAACATTGTTTCACCATAACCCAGAACCCTGACGTAGCAGGTCTGAGCAAGGTGTAATAGCTCCATAACTAGGGTATTTCTAACCCTGAGATGATCTTGATGCTACTGATATATGCTGCTTCTACAATCACCCGCTCGTTAACACTGCACAGGTACAGGGTGTCAGGAAACAGCAACACTTGCATCCCATCAGCCTGAGGAACAGATGTTAACTATCAGATAGCTTCAGTTCCTCCTCTCTCATCTGTTTCTGAAAGAAATCAAATACTATGAAATGTCAAATAGCTTCTCTTACCACTGATTCCCTCTCCCTTCCACACAAGAGAACTGCTCCAAAACACAACCCTTCCTGCTTTATCTGCACATGTGTTAATCCTAAAAATGAAAGGTTTTTTGCTTTGTGTTTTTGTCATGTTTTAAATCACCTGTAAATGACACAGTATATATCTTTCTGTGCCTGTCTACTCATGATAATCATCTTCTCCCAGTCCGTGACTTTGCTGTTTAAAAGAGTTTCATTAACTCTTGAGAATTTCATACCATGTATTTTGATCACATTCACTCCTTTCCCCAGTCCCTCTCAGATCCATCCCTACCTCTGAACTTATGACGTGCTGTTTTGTCTTTTTCTTTTTCAGAGATGCCCTTAGAACACAAATCCTTAATTTTAATGAACTAAACGACACCAGCTTTCCTTCTTTAGTACTTTCTGTCTCCTATCTTGAAGTTCCTAGTTTCTTCAGTAACTTTTGTCGATCTGCACTTCCTAGTAATAGTGATTGGTAGTCACATGTGACTACTGGGCACTTGAAATGTGGTTAGTCTGAATTAAGTTGTGCTATATATCATGTCGATGTAAAATACATTCATCAATTCCAACACATGTTATTAAACAGAATATAAAATACCCAGCTAACAAATTTCAGATGTGAATTAGCTAGAATATAATATGAAACGAGTTTCATGTGTTTATACTCTAGAAATTTCAAAATAACAAATCTGGCTCTCATATTTCTAGATTCTAGAAGTGTGCTGTTGGGTAGAGCTTACTGTAGTGATGATTGTGTTCTGTGTCTGCCCTGTCCAAGACCTTAGCTGCATGTGGAGGAAAATTTCAAATGTGGCTATGATAACCAAGAAACTGAATTTTAAATTCAAATTGCATTTGTTTAGCTTTGAGTACCCACATTCATATTGACTAGCAATTTTGGACACTCCTGTGTGTCTGGAATTTAACCTCCTATTTTAGCTATAGTTGATTTGTGTATGGCATCAGAGATCAACCAGGATGTTTCTTTCTTCTTTGTGCAAATTGATCCAACCGGACAAGGAAAAAATATTCCTTTTGAAGCCTTTTTTTCTTTTTTGTTCCTGTGGCATATTCTTCATTTTTATATTTTTCAATCTCTCTGTCTCTGTTTTTGTCTCTCAGTCCCTCCCTCCCATCTCTCCCACCTCTTCTCTCTTTCTCTCTCTCCCTCCCCCTCCCCCTCTCTGTGTCTACAAATGCTACAATATGTGTGACAGGACAGAGGACAAACTTGCAAGAATGTGGATTCTGGGGATATAACTCAGGTTATTGGGCTTGGCAACAAGCACCTTTATCCATTGAGCCATCTAGTTGGCCCTCCTTGGCCTATTTTTGTACCAAATACCACACTGTCTCTAAGAACTAATAGAATACCTGTTCGTTTTTGTTTTCTCCCTCAAGCTTGTCATGGCCATTCTTGACCTTGTCTGTTTTCACATAAATATTAAATATAGCTCATTGATTTTTACAAAATAACTTCCAGGATTTTGATTGAATTGTATAGGATAAACACTTCATCCATTCATAAACCATCTACTTACTTAAGTCTTCAATTTTGTTCAGTAATGTGTGTCCCTTTTCTATGTAAAGGCCTTAGACATCTTTTGTTAAATTTATTCCTATCTATTTATTTGCTATTACTAAAGGTATTAGTTACTAGTTTCATGCTATAGTTATTGTGGTATGTAGAAATGCATTTGGCCAGATGGTGGCTCATGCCTTTAATCCCAGACTATCAGGAGGCAGAGGCATGCCTGAAATTGAGGCCAGTCAGGACAGCCAAGGCTGTCAAGAGACAAAAACAAAAAATATGTTTGATTTTAAGTTATTATTCTTATGTCAAACAACTGTGGAAAATTACTTATTCTTGGATTTTTATTGTATACACTTCTAAACATTTGTTAGTAATGAGAATTTTTTTCTGATTTTTAAAAACAATTTTTAATGATTTTTAAAAAGATTAGGTGTGCATGTCTCTGTGAGGATGATTATGTGTGTGTTCAGTTACCTGTGGTGGCCAGAAGAAGCAATTACATTTCCCTGGAGCTGAAGTTACATCTGGTTGTTAAGCTGCTTGATACCACAGCTGGGAGCTGACTTGGGTCCTATGTAAGAGCAGTATATATGATCTAACTGTTGAGCCATCTTTCTTTCTAGCCCCCATGCCAATCATCTTCTTTCCATATTGCTGCCCTAACCAGGACCTCAGTTTACAAGAACCAGAAAACTTTATTTCATTCTTATGTTTAATGGACAAGATAGAAAGTGAGCCAACAATAAAAGTATATATAGTCTTTGGTATTTTCAGAGTAGTCAGAGCAGCCCTGTGTCTTAAGAAATTTGTATTAATTACAAGGCTGCTCACTAATACAATTAAATAAAAAAGGGCTATTTTTCATAGAGAGTCCCGAAACAAAGAATGACACAGGAAGGAAATGGGAGAAAATACTAGTTTAATGGGTTGGCAAATGCAAAAGAATTTTATTGTTCAGACTGTCCATAAGTATAAACTAATCATCTGTCTTTTTAAATCCCTTTAGGAAAAATAGAAATGAAGGTACATATACACACGAAATTCTGCCTCATTTGTTTGCTGACATTTGTTTTCCATCATTGCAACCACTGCCATGAAGACCATGACCATGGCCCTGAGGAGCTTCACAGACACCATCGTGGGATGACAGAGGCAGAGTCCAGCAGATTTTCAGTTCAGGATGCTGAAAATGAAAAAAAGTATTATATTGAAAAACTTTTTGACCGTTATGGTGAAAATGGAAGATTATCATTTTTTGGTCTGGAGAAACTTTTAACAAACTTGGGCCTTGGAGAGATCAAAGTCGTTGAGATTAATCATGAGGACCTTGGCCATGATCATGTTTCTCACTTAGACATTCTGGCAGTTCAAGAAGGAAAGCATTTTCATTCCCACAACCACCAGCATTTCCACAATCATTTAAATTCTGAAAACCATACCACGACCAGCATACTATCAAAAAGAAACCACAAATGTGATCCAGAGAAAGAGGCAGCTGAAGTACTCATCAAATCTGATGAGAAACACCTGCATGATCACACTCACCGTTTACATCATCGCCATCGTTCACATCATCACCTGGATCATAACACAACTCGGCGTGTTCACAATGATTCTGTCACTCACAGTGAACATGGGGAGCCTGGTCACGGACCTTCAACAGAGACAAATAAAACACAAGAACAGTCTGAAGTTAAGTCGCTGAAGGTCAGGAGGAAGGAAAAAGGGAAGAGAAAAAAAGAAAACTCTGAAGTTAACACACCAGGTTTCCTCCCCAGCCATGATCACAGTGAACAATATGAGCATAATCGGGTTCACAAACTTGACCGTGTACATAGCCCAGGTCATCCTCATGTACATCTTCCTGAGCGTGATGGTCATGATCTTGGTCATGGACACCAAGATCTTGATCCTAATAATGAAGGTGAACTTCGACATACTAGAAAACGAGAAGCACCACATGTTAAAAAAAGTGCAATTTATTCCACTCCTAGCCACAAAGACCATAATGAAGAAGACCGCCAACATGAAGTAGGTATAAAACGTTGTATACAACAGTGGTTTTATAACCACAACTGGTGTTTACTTGGTAGTTTTCAGGTAGTTGTGAAAGGGTTTAGGTTAGACTAGAGTAGTCATGTGTGTGCCTGAGGAATACCAGATAACAGTTTGCAGTGTTATTCTCAAACTTGGGTTCCTCGAGTCTAAATACTTACATGTTGTTTGAAAATAGATTCTTAGTTCATTTAGTTGTTGGCCTCTTTTCTCTCTCTCTCTTTATGATAAGGCCTATTGTGATGAGTCTTTACTGAGGCCCTCCACAGACCAGTATGAATGTAAACATATGTGATAGGAAATTCCAGGACTACTAGAATGGTCTTGTTTTCTCCTCAGTCTTCATACTTTGGGAGGCTTTTTACTGTTTTTTCTTCTTGGTTTAAGTGTACCTTTTTTTGTTGTTATATGTATACCAATGCTACTTTTTATTCTGATTCCTAACAATTCCATTAAAATTTAGAAAAGTTTGTTGGCTTTATATGTTTATATGAATGGTAAGCAGCACCGTCAGATGAGGGAAGGCAGGTCTATTCTTGTTGAAGTCATCTGAGTAAATTCATTATAGTGCTTTCCTGGCTAAATCAGCAGATATTTGTTTCCAGCAGTTATATTAAAATTTTAATGAGATTTTAAAGTGTACATTTATCATTCTGGATAAGACCTCAGTGCCTTCCCTGGATGATAATATGTTGTATTCTCCTATTTACTGTGTGTATCAGACTCAAGAGCTGTCTGTGCTGTTGTCCTCACAAATCTGATGCCCTGACCCCTGGAATTTTTGAAAATGTTTTGGGTATTGAGTAGGGTAGTACTTTGCAGTTATTACTAAGACCTATTGTGGTTACTTTGTGTGTCATGGTTACTTTGAGGTATTGAAAAGATGAGGTACTTAGGTAGTAGGTCAGTAAAGAAGTATGAAACCAGACTGGTATATAAGAGGAAATGGAAGTCCAGTTCTTTACCCTAATGTAAGACATTACTTTTTACTTTATGATAGATCCAAACCTGTGTATTTGCTTTCTGTTTTGTTTTTAAAGTATCAGTTGATAAATCTTATTTTTTCTTTTTGTACTGAGATTAAACCCAAGACCTTGCAATGAGGAACACCCAGAGTTCCTATCATTTTTCACCTTCTTTGTGTCCCTCAGTGCAAACTGAACTAGAATTTACTAATAGCTTTTGTGTGTGCACATACATGCATATGTATTTTAATGGATTGTAGTTACTTTTTGCTGTTGTGATACTCAAGCTTACTGAGCTAAAATGTGCCCAGGATTCAGTATAACATTCTCCTGGAATTCCTTTGGCAGGGAGAAAAGTGTATGTGTTAAAGAATTTTGTGTCACTGATACTACCACAGTTTGGTAGGGAAGAGCCCTTCTGATTCTATATGGATCTTGGGGAAATGACTGAGTCATTCTTTCATGTGTTGGACTAGAAAAATGACTAGAATCTCTAGAAAGTCTTGAGTAAACTAGTAGAATGTATTCCTATTTTAAATCTTTACATAATTTCCCGTGGAAAGGATGATTCTTATGTATCTGTATCCAGTTATTTTCAAGTGATATTTAGAAGAATATTTTAATTGTATAATCATTTATTTTCTGTATAATGTTCTTAAAAACCTACTTGTACTGAATTTGTTTTATCTGTTTCTTCGCAGTGTTTGAACGTCACCCAGTTGTTAAAACACTTTGGTCTCGGTGCCAATTCTCCCATCTCACCTGATCTATTTACGTACCTTTGCCCTGCATTGCTGTATCAGATTGACAGCAGACTTTGTATTGAGCATTTTGACAAACTTTTAGTTGAAGATTTAAATAAGGATAAAACTCTGGTTCCTGAAGATAAAGCAAATATAGGGGCATCAGGTAAGAGACATTTTTTTTCTTCCTTAAGATATTCTCATAATGTGTCTTAAATTATAGATTAAGGTTAAAATGAAATAGTAAATTGTTGGGTTTAATTTTGTGTCAGACTTTAATGTTAGATATGCATATAAAATATTGGGGGAGAGGTGAGGCTGAGTATATTTTTATATTTACTCTTCTGACCATATAGAGGAATGTTTTGCTGTGGACAGAGAAGAACAAGATTAAAAAGGAAATAGAAATCTTTTTGACGAGCACCTGTAAATAATGGGACCTCTAAATTATTTAATCTTTTGCAAGGGTAGGGCTTCATGAAAAGTAAAGATGATTGGATTTTAAAGAAATAAAATGGGAAGCTAGAGGCCAAACAGTGGTAATGTCTCTTGACATGCCACATAGTTAGCATACCAACTTCCTTCTTCTTCCAGGTTCCAATGGGACCAAACCAATTCTGTTTTCCAACTGCCCCTAGGCTGGTTGGTTGGGTATTTTTTTCCCCATTATATCCAGGTGGCCGGATAGCTCCCCTGTGGCCACAAGCATTCCCTCCTAACATTACACAACTCTACTATGTGATTGTTTGTAATTCTCGGATTTGAAATCCACCATTCTAGAATCTAGAAGTTATTTCCCTTCAATTTTCTCCTTTCCCCTTTTTCTCTTGTATTATGAGAAGTCTAATTGTAGACTGTAGACATTTTCTAACTCTGAGCACTCTATTGTAACCTTTGCTTATATTCATTTTGTTCTTTTTTTTTTTTTTTTTTTTTTTTTTGACTGTTGAAATTAGCTTTATTACCTTCTTGCCTATGTTCTTACCTCTTTACAAGGCATTTCTGGCACTTAAACTAGATTTGTTTTCTAAAATGTGAGTGAGATCCTCCAGCATAGAAGTTGTTCCTTTTAACATTATTAATAATTTAATTTATTTACTTTATAAATACATGTTGCAGGCTTTCTTCTAAATTCATTCATTTACTCCTCCCAGCAGTTTTAGAAGGTAGGCAATGTTATCCCCCCCCCCCCAACATGTCAAGTAGTAGGTAGTTGTGCTAGGATTCAAACTCTGTAATTAAGACATTTTGGTATTTATGTACCAAATGTTTTATAAGCTTTTTATTTCCCACTAAATTTCAGCAATAATCCAGAGAAATTTTGTGATTGATTCTTTAGTTTTAATTTTTCACATGTGGTTTTGTTTTCTTTTAGATAGAAACTGAGGCATAGAGAAGATAAGTAACTTGCTCACAATTTGCAGACTTTAATGAGTGACAGCCCACAAACATTAAGGTTTGATCAAAATTGTGAGCAGCTCATTCCTATACCATTACTTTCTGAATTTAGCTGAATTCTGATTCCCTCTAGGATGTTTGCAATATCTTAAAACTAGTTAATACTTTGCATTACATCTCTGGTACATTTTCTTTTTTCTCATGTATTTTGTACTATGCCCTTTGGTTTTAAGGTTAGACTCTTTAGCTTTGCTTGAGCCTTATGCTTTCTGCACTTACTTTCTACCTTCGAATCCCAACTCCTCACATTTCTCTTTTCTCAACTTAGTAAGCTTAGCAGACAGATGATTATGTTATTTTCTTCCACTCATCTCTATCTTCTGTGTTTCTTTGAAGTTTCAGCTCAAGGCATTAGAACTTCTGTGCTAATTTACACATGTCCCTAATAGTAGAGGTTTGGGGAATCCTTTCCTTTTTTCTTTCTTTCTTTTTGGTTTTTCAAGACAGGGTTTCTCTGTGTAGCCCTGGCTATCCTGGAACTCACTTTGTAGACCAGGCTGGCATTGAACTCACAGAACTTAAAAGACCCACCTGCCACTGCCTCCTGTGTACTGGGATTAAAGGTGTGAAATTTAGATAAATGTATTTTTGTTGGGCCTCAGTTACTTAAAGGCAGTGACTAGAACTCTCCTCTCTACACATAGGAAATAGAGCTTTGGATATGAAACAAACATTCATGTTGATTCAATGAATAAATTGCTTAATATTAGCCTAGAAGCTCTCTGTTATATTCCAGGAAAATGTTTATTAAACATTCACCTTGGAAGTTAATTAACTATGTAGAGGGAATAGTAAAAACTGGAATTTCTGTAAACCACTTAACCATACCAAAATCATAGACGTATTACTTTGATTTTAAAAATAATAAACACAGTTTGGGTTGAAGTACCCAAGATGTTTTGACCTAGGGCACAGTAATTACAGTTTCTTAAAATGGTATTTATGGATATGGATAAAGACAGAATTCTAGCATGGTAAAGGACAGAACTGTTTAAATTTTATTACGTCGTGATGAAGTAGACATATTTAGGAACATGTGATTCATTTATAAGAATTTTATTGGGGATACAGATAGTTCTTAACATCCTGGAACACTGCAAATAAAAGGAAATGGTGTCTTATCAAGTAAAGTCAGTCTTCTCAGTTCCTGTTTTTCTATTCCTGCTTTCCCCTCCCCCCGTGGGAAAATAACCTTTGAATAGATAAATTAAGTATAATAGGCTACAACTATTGAGACCTTACTGTGTATTAAGTTGAACACTTATCAGAGAAATTGTATTCATTCACTCCTCATTCTTGAGTTGTGGTTCACTGTTATCCAGGTTGGCCTCTCATGAACTGTGACCATTGGTTTGTGCTACTGTTCCTAACTCTGATCTATTAAAGCCTTAAGGTTGGCACATTCTTGTATTTTAGTTTGGTGAGGTTTAGAGGAGGGCTTTGCTCAAGCTTGCATAGCTGCCAGGTTTGAAGTGTGAACTCTAGATCTCCATGTGATGTTTATAGTCCTGTCCACTATGGTTCCTGTTTCTTATGGAAGTGGATCTTAAATGCTTTACTGGATGTAAATGAGAGCAAAGTGAAGAGATAGATTCAGCTGTGTTTAAGAGCATTGTAACTGATTTGTAGACCCAAGAAGGGTTGTAGAGGGGGTTGTTATAACTGTGGTTCTAGGTGTTGAGAAATATCTTAAAAACCAAATATGTTCACACGTCCTATAACTTAAAAGGCAGACACAGCCTGGCCGCCACCATAAGTACATCTTTAAGAAATAAAGGAAAGATAAACCCTCCTGGTAGGAGGAGTAGTAACAAAGTGAGTTCACAACTGAATTTGAATGTCCATTGTGAAGGAGATATAACTTGTCCTCTTTCTGGACTTCATGCATGCTGTTCTTTGTAGATGAAAGACCACATCCCTCTCACTGCCACAAAAAGGGAATTAGAGATTAAGCTTAATTGAAAATATATACTTTTTATTGTAGGGAAAAATGGAAACTAACAAGATTGTTTCATTTAAAGTTAAACCCAATAGGTTTGAAGGATTCTTAAAAAAAAAAAATAATTCCAGTTTTGTTTTCATGCCAGTGGTGAATTAGGGCTTTTAATTAGTGTTGTCTATGTTGTAGTACTGCCATAATCCATATATTGAAATAAAGCTGTTGACAGGTATGCAACTAGTAACACTGTAAGTTACAGCTTATTCAATTTGAAAGCCTTAGAGGAAATTTGCTTGTTTTGAAAACAAATATGCTGCAAATAGTGAATATTGATTAGTTGTTTGCAGGTGGTTTTTAGCATTGTCAGAAATACAGCTTGAATTAATTATGTCCTGATAGATGTTAATAATTGTTAGAGAGAATGTCCTGCTAGTAATTATTTTTAATGACTGTTGCACCATTAAGAAAGGTTAACTTGTTTTATATAAATCTCCCATAGTGACTCAACTACTACCTCATTAACTTTGTTCAAAGACTGCTGTAAACCAAATACCCTGAATAGTGTGCATGCTAGAAATCGTTTGTTTCACAAGATTGGCTTATTTAGTCATAGAGTTGACCCTAGCTTAATTACCAGGAGGGGCTGTGAAGAGGCTGCTAAGCATTTTCTGCCAATTAAAATGCTGAAACAGTGTAGAAAACTGCCATCTTGCAGATGCTTTGCACCGAGTTAATTAGAAAGTTTCCACAGATGAACGCTTCTTTTTAAAAGAATGCATTTTCTCTCTTGGTAATGAGAAAAGGACTTGGTGAATAACTAAGCTTGAAGACCTTTAGCGTTTCAAGCAACCTAATTTGCGGAAGAAGTGAAGCTTGCTGCAGACACTTAGCTCTTTTTATTACATATGGTATCTTGGGTACAAATAAAGAAAACATTAGCTAGTTGTATTTAGTAGTTTACATATTGCTTGCTAGTTACCGGTTTTCTAAAAGATACCTTTCCAGCTGTGTTTTACACCAAATAAATTGTGATTAGAAAAGCACAACTATTTGGTTAGAAATTGAAAAAAAAAAAATTGCATTGCTTTTTACCCCCTGGTGTATATAGAAAATTAAGAGCTTATGTAAGGTAAAAACCACTGAGTAATCTGGAAAGTTATTTCTAAATACACATTATTCAAAAGAGTCTCACACTTCTGGGTCAAAAGAATTGTAATTTTTCATGAGAAGAATTAGTAACTTGCTAGAGAAATGAATGTACATATTCATAGGTGTAGAAAACTTAGATTATTTTTGGAAAAACTAAAAGTAAATAATTAAAAGAGGAAGTTTACTAGTGCTAATGGAACAGTTGTCATGTAATACTTGTCATCTATAGAAGATGTCTGGAAGTTTCTGATTTTTTTTTTCTTCTTACTTTCTGGCATAATTTAGTTTGTTTTCTGTGAAGCCTCGTTTAGTAAGTAAAGGACAGGAATTCTCTGACAGTACCACACTTTTATGAAGGAAGCAGTGTAGTGCGTGAGAGTTACAGGACTGGGTTAGGTGTCCTGTTACCATCCCATCACTAACTAGTTATGGCTAGCCTTGCCCATCTCCTGGGGTTATAGTGCTTCTGAAGCAAGTTCCTAGCTCCCATGTTTAGTTTTGACTTTTTAAAGTAGCTAATTTTGTGTTAGACATTTTACAATATTTTTTAAGTTAAACCAAAAAATTGGGAATTTTTTCTTCCATTTTTAGTGTTAAAATAAAACATAACAGTTTGATCT